CGATCAAATGTGTAGTGCAAATTGCAATCAAAAGAGGCGTTAAAATTCACCACCATATATTATTATATGACAGAAAAGCGACATTAAAACAGACAATATAAAGATCTAAAGGATTTAACCTATAATAAGATATAATGTATAATATAATTTTTAAACTTGGTAACAATACTTTAATAAATAAACCTTACAATTATCCTACTCCTGAAATCCTGATGCAGAGTATCCGTCTCATTCTCTCGAAGTTTAGTTCTCTGAAGGTATCTAACACAATGTTTTTTCTTCTCTTCACTTTATATTCAAGTACTACGAAAGACTTCTGAAAAATAATAATACATTTATACAATAAGTAATACAAAAATCTACATTCAGTTTTCTTTAAAATTACACACATAACTTAACGTTGGAAATATAACAATAAGTAATACAAAAATGTACATTCAGTTTTCTTTAAAATTACATACATAAAGTATAACACAATGGCTATTGGCATAAGAAAATGCATTTATATTTAAAATCTGAAGACTTTTCATGTTTTTGTGATTTGGATTATTTCTGCACAACACGGTCCAATTTTGAATAAAAAAATTAATTTGATTTAAAACAAAAGTCACAACACAACCCGTGACCCGATACCAACAACCTTATTTTGTTTGTCCTACATTCAAGAAGTTAGATATTTATTTATTCATTTAAAAACTTAAATGTAACACCTTAAGTTAAAGGTTATATAGAGCGGACTTAACTTCTCTGCCAGTCTACCCTGGGGGCCAGAGACAATTATTATTTTGTAACATGCGAGCGGAGTAGAAGCACAGTATAAACAATAGTACTACGTAGTAAAAGCCTATGGCACTGATATTTTACAAAAAATAAAAACAAAAGTTTTGAATTAAACGTTTTTTGATAAATTACATTGCCCTTTGCCATTGAACCTGTGACCCTTCGAAGTGACAAGGTCAAAGATGCTTGCTAAATTTAATGTTTTATTGCCATTCGTAAAGTAGAGTGGACATGATTTGAATTATTTTTTTTTTTTTTTTTTAAAATATCAGTATTTTTTCGATGAGGAAAAAAGAAAGTTAGTTAATAATTGCCCTCAGGTAATGTTGCCGTACAAGTATTTTGGAGGAGTTTTCAATCGACTTCAAAAAAGAAGGTGGTTCTCAATTCGTCGTAATCTTTTTTAATTTGTTTAATTCTTAATATCATTGGGGAGGGTGTTCCAAAGAAATCCTATATCGTAAAAGAGGACCTGAAAAAGTTGGACCTATGCTGTCCTCAGTTAGTAGGGTTATCCTCAGACGGCTTGACTGTCGTGATGTTTGACAGATGATCGAATGAAAAAATGAAAGTTGTACTTAAGATAAGAAGGCGACCTTGAATCGTTTAAAATTAAATAAAGTTCATGTAAAATTATAGAGAATCGTCTTTGACGTATAGGTTGTCATTTAAGCTTTGAACGATAGGAAGATAAATATGTGGTTATACTTACGTAAACCGAAAATAAACCTTATGAAATTACTATAAAGCGTTCCAACTTGTTTCGAAGATTTTGTGATTAATCTGGGTAGCTTATATCTGCATAATCGATAATAGGCAGAATGAGAATGAAACATCGTAAGCTTGGTTCGGAAAGGTAGGAAAATTTTAAAACGATAAAGGGAACGCAAAGTGGCAACGACTTTACGACTTAAGACAAGATTTTTTATGGAATCACAATATGAAATCAAAGTTCCATTATAAATTAGTAGAGAGAGATTGCCATATTCTGATCTGTACGTAAAAACCTAACGTAATCTACACTATGTGTAACAAATACCGTTGCAGCCTACTAAAGTTCTATTCTGAACATAGGCCTCCCCCATAGATTGCCTCATGGGGGAATATTTGCCACAGTTGCCACGCTTGGCAAGCGGGTTTGCAACGTAAGTTTTTTAATCGCTATTAGAAAGATGCTGCTGCCCATCTCCCAATTTATTTACGACACCCACAGGATGATATGGAGTAGTGGATATTCTTACACCGCCCCTACACTGTACAAATATACCAGTATTTTAAGACTCTTAAAAGTAAAGTTAATAGCTACAAAACTCACGTTACCATCCACATCATCTGGATGCTTGGTGACCCACTACTGCGAGATTTACTAGGAGTTCGTTTCCTCGCACGACTTCTTTGCGGAATTGTTTACCGCGGGCAATTTTTCCGGACCGATATGACTTAGGTGGATACGTATCTTCAATAAATGTGCTAACTCCTTTTTAAAAGGTCGGTAACACACCTGCAATTCCCTTGGTATTGCAGTTGTTCATGGGCGGCGGTCAATACTTACCTTAAGTGAGGCATATGCTCGTTCGCCCTTCTATAAAATAAAAAGCTTTACGATAAAAAAGATTTCATGATAAAAAAATGTGTAAATTCAGGACAACGAATGTATCGATAAAATGTCTACAGTTATAACAGTAAAGTTCAATGTTTTTCGGGCACGTTGTTCTACATTTTTTAGTTTTATCGAGGTTAGATGTAGTCCAGATATCTTGTCGGTGCTGTAATCTGCAATGGAGATCAGGACTGCGCAAATTCCTCAATACGGTTTCTAAGTAACCTCTTCAGTTTCAAATTAATTCATTTAAGGATCTCGAAAGGAATTATAATTTTGGTTTTTAGTTTGTTAATGTTGGAAGTGTTGTATATATTATGATATTTAAATATCAAGTCATGTGTCGACGTAAAATTATAATCGCCCTGATCAGTAACGGGGAGCAATACCAAGGGTAATGACGTCTGGTACTGCCATCCGCCGTGCAATCTGACTAGCGTTCTTGATTCTAATAAGTTTTAAAAGACCAATGTGATCATCCCATTTACAATCAGTGGCCTATTATGGGTAGCTGCCACCCGAGTCGGCTTGTGTCGAATTTGATGCCTTCTAAACTGTGCTTCTCAGGGCCATGGCTCCCTTGCTTTATCGGATATCCAGATCGAAGACCACCTGCCAAGCGTAAAGATGAAGGCAAATCCTCCTTATAACGAAAGACGAGAAAGATGTACCGCAATAAATACTGCTCGACTGAATGCGCAAGCACAGGTGTACTCTCTATTCTCTCACTCTCACAGTCTGACGGGACGGTAATCCGACAAGACGGGAAAGAGATCAGGTGCAGGATTGACGGCTTTACGACGACTTACTAACGACTCTGGTCTGCTACTAATATTTTCGATTTTAATCCAACTCGGAATTCAAACTCGGAACCTCATAATCAACAAGCGCGTTTATGACCACTAGACCAACGAATCTGTTAATAATTATCGATACAGCTAGGCGATGATTCAACTTTACGTCTGCAGCAAGTAAATGAACCATTAGGGGTTACAATAATGCGAGAGTCAAGGTTGTTGCCGTGGTAGAATTTAAGCACATTTGGGTTTCCTGTCACATGCCCCGCGGGACAGCCAAAGATCGCCCGCGAGAGCGTCAGCAAAAAAAAAACAGTAGAAAGAATTAATTATTTTTTAATTCATTTAAAATTAATGTTAAAAATCACTCCCGTATCTTAGGGAATTGTATATATATACATCGTAAAATAAGTAACAGGTACATTCGGGACAACTCATATCATACCGCCTTAAAATACCAACTCAATGCTACCGTGTTCCGTATGTTGAGGGAAGAGAACCGGAGATTCTTTTTACTGGATACGAGGCATTTCAAATTGGAATAAAGGACAAATGTGGAGTTCTATGGGCCAAAGTGTCTACATTCCATCAAGTGAACTGTGTGTTCGTTTGTACCTTTATTTTATAACAAGTAAAAGCTATTTGTAGGTTTTTATAGGATAATAGAGAAACGAGCATACAGTTCACCCGATGGCAAGTGGATACCGTGGCCAATAGAAATTAACATCTAATCCTCGATTAAAAATCAATATGCAGATGCGTAATCACTCCTGAGGACTAAGGTGGAATGACTCGTTTCCAGTAAAAAGGGTCTCCGATTCTCTACATTCACCATTAAATACAGTAGCATTAAGCTGCTATTTTACGCTGGTATGCTGCAACCCATTCGTGATACAACCATAACACGGCTTTACCAATATCCCTCTATAGCTGCAGCATGGTTTAACCAACATTTGTCTAGGGCGGAAATCGAACCCATGTCCCGTAGCGCCACAGGCAAAATTGGACACAAAGTTATCGAGTCGTCAGTTTAGTTTATGTAGACATTTATCTGTTGTTGTTTTTGAATATTGTTTTTGTTCACTCACTGATAGCCCTCTGCAGTGAGTTCTTAGCTCTGCTCGTGCAGTGGCTTAGCAATGAGTTATGGCGCTGAGGGCCGTGGGTTGGGATCCTGCTCGGTACGGTTATTTATATGGCCTAAAAATAATTGTTCCCATTCTGGATATTTGTCCTTGTGCAATTTGTGTTAATAAATTCCCACCACAACATAGGAAAAATTATAGTGATAAATTTTTTTTCAATGTGGCCTGTGTTTTTAAAATGTGTGATGTTTTTTATTTGTTGACCGTACGTATATCCTCATTGGAGATTCCGCGAGCTCCGCGAAACGTCCCAGCTATCGTTTATAAAAGAGCGAAATAGAATGAAAAGTTTCGCATTCCTAAGTTTTTTGCGAAAGATCTTGGTGGACTGTGTAGTTTTGTGTTAGTAAAGGTTTCTAAGTGTTGCTAATGTGACTTGTCTCTAATACTATTATTATTTTTAAAATTCAGGGAAACGGTAAGATACTAAATTATTTATGTATTAGTTATAATTAAATACTCAAACGTGATTTTACTAGTTGACATTTTAATTATTTATGAAATTGTAAAATATTTTCAGTGCTTAATGTTTTAAACAGTCTTACTATTTTTTATTGAAATTTGTAATTAAACAGGTCTTTTATATTTTTTGTGACTTAATGTAACTTTTTGCCTTGGACATTATTGCTTATTGTCGTTTTTTTAATAATTATATGTTAGTTATTATTATTTTTAAACTCAATTATGATTTAACGAAGGGAAACATTGTGAAGAAACATGTATGTCAGAAAAATAAGAAAAAAAATTATGCAAAGACATGTAAACTTCGCCAACACTCATTGAGGCAGCGTGGCGGACAATTCCTTACCTTAAAGCCCTCTCAGAAATGACAGGAGGACCGTGTCCAGCAGTGGGACGTATAAAAGCTGAAACTTTACGACGTATTAGAGCAATGGTAGCTCAGGGGCTAAGCACTCGCTGTAAATTTCACAGTACGTAGCAAACCGGGTTCGATCCCCACCGACGGCACCAATGAATTTGTTAATTGCAATTTTACGTGCTGAATTAACACGTACTCGGCGGTAAATGAAAACATCGTGAGGAAACTGCATGTCTGAGAAATAAGAAAAAATAATAATTTCGAAGACATGTGAAGTTCGCCAACGCGTATTGAGGCTGCACGGCGGACACTTCCTTGCCCTAAAACCCTCTCAAGATAGAGAGGAGGCCTGCGCCCAGCATTTTGACGTATATAAATTTGACTTATTATGATTATATTGATAATTTATTATGACGTCAAGTCGGTTTAATCGATTTTATAAATGTCATTACATTTGTGCATTATTACCTTCGTGGACTAAGATGGAATGCCTTACAGCCTGTAATTATACTGGTTGTATATATAATATATATAGTATATATACCACTCACTGACTGACATCACGAGATCTCTAAATCTATACACCCGATCAACTTGAAATTTAGTACAGTTACTCATTTCGCAATATACACTCATTAAGAACGGATTTTACGACAGTACAATAAAAAAATTGATATTTTAGATGTTTCGCAAAAAATATTACCGTGCGCCGAGCGAAGCGAGCCGGTATCAGCTAGTAAAAGAGATGTTGCATTATTTTTTTTTGTCTACAAATTAAATATATAAATGAAAAAATAATTGATTTAAGTTATATTTTAAAAAATATTAACAATTCCATTTCTTTAGTAATCAATAGTAATTATTAATAAAAATAGGTTCATTGTTGTATTAAAAAAATGATTTGTGATTGGCTGAGACGTCATTATAATATCCGTTGTGGCCGTGAGTCGATTTTCACTTTTGTATTTTCTATGTTCGGATCACCATGTGTACACGAAATGTATGTAACCTGTATTATGCAATGACAATTTTGGTATATATATATATATATACATTTCGGAATGTGACAGAAATGCTTACATATTGAAACACACATATATTATTATTGTTGCACGCCTAAGTTGACGTCATGTACCGGCACTAGCGCCATCTAGTGTCGGGGACAAGAGCAAGAGGAGCTTTCCAGAAAATGACATCACTAATCTTTTAACCGACGGCGCCATCTAGTATCGAAACGAAGAACTAAGCTTCTAGAAGCCCGACACTCGAACTTTCGACGCCTTGTCGATTGGCGCGCGTATTTACTTGAATATTCTGGATGTTTCGGTGATAATGAGTATTTAAAGGCGCTGCAAGATGCGAGCGGGGAAGTATTGAATTTGGCGAGACAAGCGAAGCTTCGGAGCGGAATAAAGTGAATCAGTGTGGTTAGTTATTAGTGTTCTAAGTTTTAATTAGTATAATGTGAATTAAAGAGTTAATTTTGGTAATTCAATCGGCAGTTTTTATTGTCACGAACCTCAAGCTCGTAACAATTGGTATCAGAAGTGGGATAAAATCATGCCGATTTTACCTAAGGAGGAAACGGAGAGTATCCGTACTCGAAGTCAAGGCCAGCAGGAGACGGACCAAAGAAGATTTGGTGGTGCAACGCCGCAGACGTCGGAGGGCCAGCCGCTGGCTGCAGGCCCGTCAGTAGCTCCTACATCTGCAGCACCTGACTTAGGTGCTCTGATGGTGATGCTGCAGGAGCAGGCTCGCCGACAGGAGGAACAGGTCCGTCGTTTGGAAGAGCAGCTGCGGGGTGAACAAGAGGAACAGGTCCGTCGTTTAAAAGAGCAGCTGCGGGACGGACAGGAGGAATAGGCCCGTCGGTTGGAAGAGCAGATGCTCCTCATGAAGGATCTTCACGTTACCTTCGGGAAGGAGATCAAGGAGGTGAAGGATAGCGTTGTTCAGCATGGCAACCGCCTGTCAGAAGCTGAAACCCGAATCGAGAAAGCTGAAACCCGAATTAACCAAGTGAACAATCGGGTTGACAACGTGATGGCTGACGTGAAGAAAACGCTGGATGACCTCAAACTGGGGGTGGAATTACAGCTCCCGTAGTAGCTACAACACCTTCGCTACGTGGGTTCAAAGTGCCACCGTTCGACGGGAATTCTTCCTGGTCAGCTTACAAAATCCAGTTTGAAGCCGTTATGAAGGCGAACGGCTGGAATAAAAGTCAGGCCATGACTGCTCTCACACTAGGCCTGCGCGATCAGGCCTTAACCGTTCTGGAAGCTCTCGGTGAGGAAGTGACTTATGAGCAGCTCCTTGAGGCATTGGAGGCGAGATATGGCGACGCTCACCTGGAACACTTCTTTCGTGCGCAGCTCAAAGATCGCGTGCAGCGCATCAATGAAAACCTGCAGCAGTGGGCTCTAGAGGTGGAGAAGCTGGTACGAAAAGCATACCGGTCCCCTCACGCTAGGGAGGTTGCAGCAGTTACGGTTCGCGACCACAATAAAGTATACAGCCCTAGGTGCTACGGCTGTGGGGAAAGGGGCCATCTTCGATCCAGCTGCCCTAAGCGAACCCTAGAAAGGGAAGGTGAACGATCTCAGAAGGGAAGTGCAGCTAACGTCACCGCCCAGCAGCAGCCGGGATACGACTTAACTATCAGACATGACAGCGGGAAATCTCATGGCGACGCAGATGCATTGTCAAGAAGACCTTGTTCTGAAGATTTGAAACATTGTACTAGGCAAGAGAGTAAGGAAGTGGTATCCGTGAGGAAGCTCAGGACAGACCACCTCAGCAACGAGTGGAAGGATAGCCTACGATATGCACAGCAGGTAGATCTGGACATCAAGCCGATTCTGGAATGGCCCGTGCTACCAAGCCTAAGTGGAGCGACGTCTCAGCGATGAGTTCGACCACTAGAAGCTATTGGGCCCAATGGGACAGCTTGCTGATTCAGGATGGAGTCCTGTGCCGTAAATGGGACAATGGTCGAGGAGACAGCTGTCGTTTGCAAATGGTTGTACCTAAAGCTAAAGTACCGAATGTTCTACAGCTGTGCCACAATGGTCGTTCAAGAGTCCATCTGGGAGTTAAACGAACTCTACTGAAGGTTCGAGAACAGTTTTACTGGGTCCACTATCGTGACGATGTCGAGGATTAGTGTCGTACATGTACAAGTTGTGCGACTGTGAGTGGACCTCAGACACGTCGTAGAGGAGCATCGAAATTGTACAATGTTGGTGCACCATGGGGTAGGACAGCCCTTGACATTGCGGAGCCGTTACAGAAAGGCGCAAGAAGGACTCCTAAGATCGTCCATGGGGGTGAGTGTTCATAAATTTAAGAAAATACTTTGATCATCTTCGTCTTAATTACATCCTTTGTATTTTAAAAAGCTCACTGATACACTTTTAGTTTACGTTCCATTTGTACTAACTTATAGGTATTTGATTATTTTAGACACGAACAGATTTAAAATGACATCAATGAAGTTGGGTCTGGTGTTCCTGCTCTGCGCTGCAAGCGTGTCAGCTGATGACATCGAAATGGAGCTGCAGAGTGGGATGCTGATTAAGATGTTAAGGGTAGGTAGCAGTTTGAATATTTATCATAAAGCATTTTATTTTCTAAGGCGTGGCTCATTTAATATCTTCTTTTCTAATCCTTTTTATAAATAATTTCTTTACGTGCCGTATGGTGAGTGCGTTAGAGAATAGGCGTGAGCAAAAGAAAAAACATATCGATATTTTTGAATCAATGTTTTTAAACACTATTGATAATTATAGATATACTGAAAAATATCAATATACCGTCATTTTGTCAAGTATTTAAGATTATTCATATATATTTTCAAAACATTCAAAACAAAATTTCCAACATATTCGTAAAAATAATAAACATGAAGATCTTTTTATTTATGCGATGATAATTTTATTAGCAAATATAATACATCGATATCGATATTTTTGTCCAAGCCTATTAGAGAATCTTATCCCATTTGGCCGTAACCTAGAGTACATCCTATGTACGTGGTAGAGCTATGCTGCAGCTAAATAGTTGTAGCACGAATGGGTCGGGTCGACCGGTAAATACCATAGAATACCATTGTAAAATATAAACTTCATGCTGCTGTTTTGTATGGTGAATGTAGAGAACCGGAGACCATTTTCACTGGAAACGAGGCATTCTTTTTTGGTCTACAGGGGTGACAACTCATTTGCATTCTGATTTTTAATCGAGAATAGAAGTAGATGGGCCTTAGTATCCATTTACCAGCAGGTAGACTGTGTGCTCGTTTGTTATTCTTATTCTATAAAATAGTACGTATCACACCTGAGCTCTCCAAAAGCTAAGCCACAAAACATATACGTCTTTTGGAGTTTATTGTTTGAAATTCTTATAACTTTTAAAAAGCAAATGGATTACAGGAATGTGTGAAATATTTAACACGTACCAAGAAGAGGTTTAGAGCAGTCTCGCATAATAATGATAAAGGTGCGGTGGCCAAAAATAAGTTCCTGAACAATGGGTATCAATATCTAATTGCACACATAACACGTCCGCGTGTGAACATTTGAATCTTCGTTCACTTTTAAACGAACTACACCATGCATTCCAATGTAAATAACAGATTAAGTTACAATATCAGCGCTGAGTGTATTTTAAAGTAAGCCAGTTTTTTTTATGGAGGAGGAGGCTAATGACTTTCTCACTAGCATCCGTGAATGTGTACAACTCCCATTTGCAGACATCTCTACCTATGGGTCTAAGTACTTCTAAACGACCTAACTTCTTAATTTCATCTAGCCATGTAGGTACATCATAACACGTTTAATTCGTGTGGAATTTGATCGTACCATGAGATGCCTAATCGCCTAGCTTGCTGAATAAGCGGCTTTCCTTGTACCGTTATAGGTAACGCAAACCTAATGGGTCGAAAACCGACATAACTGCGTCCCTCCCTCTTCATGGGAGGTCGTAAACCTTCAATTACTTCCGTTGGCGTATTCCGTAAACTCACGGAGAAACTTAACGTATCCTGCTTAATATTCCATATTAAACCTAACGTTCGTTCATAGTGCTCTCTATCGCCCAGATGGGCCTCCATGCGGCTCACCTGATGGTAAGTGATAATTGTCGCTCACGAACATCTGCAACATCAGGGGAATCAGAAGTGCGTTGCCAGCATTTTAGAAAGTTATCTTGAAGGTCCTTAAGTAGTATCTGTCCAGAAAACCGCTGGCTACAGTAAATTCTAGAGTATGGTCTTGCGAGGCAGTAAATTTCGCGCCAGACTGTGACTACCTTGATGGTAAGCGGTGAAATAGCAGAAGATATTAAAGTGCACTAACTTAGCTTAACAAAAACCTAATGATTTCCTCATAACCTCAGCTAAACATAAAATACTTCCGTAGCCTTTAATTAACTTTTAAATTACATGCAAAGTTTAATTATTGTCGTAAAGTAGTCAAGTGAAATCGTCAATTATAAATGGGGTGACGAACTGATTTGTACCTTGGTTTGTTTTTATTGAAGACTGCAGATAACGAATATAGGAAATAACAAGATTTGTAATGTTAGAAGGTAAACATATCGCCGTAACGAAACGCATCCTCCGATAGTAATCACCTCCGGTGGTGCGACGTAAACAATGATTTCGTTTTGCAATTTAAATCGAATCGGTGATCCAAGTTGTCACCGTACATTCAAATGAAATAACGACCATTGAGCTTTATGCTAAAGGGATTCCATCCGGACAAAGATCATTCAATCGATAAAATGACGTTATATTACGAATGCTTTTCACCTTTAAATAAAAATGCATATTCAAATGAAACATAAATTTTTATACGAAAAAAAAATAGTTAAATATTATTTTGTTTCTTGTTTAGAGGTTTGGTCCTTCGAGCCGGTGTAAACCACAAAATACAATTGAGAATTTATTTCACTGACAAACAGATGACGTGGCAGACAGAGAGAGAAAGAGAGCTGCATAGTGATTCTACTACGTTTTAACATGGTAGAGTTACGCATCACAGTTAATTCACCATTGAAAGTTGTTTAATTTTTCACTCTCATTTCTCTTACTTACTACTTACTTCTACTTATCTTCACGCACAATCCCTAACGGGGTAGCCAGAGACAACAGATCGCCAAGTGTCACGATCCTTACATACCTCTTTTTTCTCTCATTCTGTAATTTCTCACTGTCGCGTCATACAACACCCACGGAAAGAAATGGGGTGATGTATTATTTTAAAATAATAATGGTGACAAACGGGCATACTTTTCACTTGATGGTAAGTGTATGCTTTGGCCCATAGACATTATTCCCGTCTATACGTAAGGCCCCGCCCCATCTATATTTGCTACAACTAAACACCATAACCATGACAATTTTGTTTCTTAATCGAGGATTTGCTTACCATCAGGTGAACTGTGTGCCTCTTCGTCACCCCTAGTCTTATAAAATACACACAGTACAAAGTAGTTAAGTAAAACTTAAATAAAATTTCCTTGGCTGTTACGCGCAATATATCTTACATGTCACTTCGCTGACATTTTGTCTTAATAACTTATACCTTTAAAAACATAGTTTTACTTTTAAATCTGTTTCACTGCATTAATATGGATATAGCATACAAATTGCGTTTACGTATTCTGATGCTGTAAGGGATTTATGAGTTTTTGGTTAAGATTTAAGATAAGTGTACGCGTCAGTGTGTATGTAAAGTGACAATGTATATTAAAGGTTGTGTCATCATCATTTTTAGCATATAAGCCTTTCCAAAATAACCTGAGGCGGTTGCATTTGATTATCAAGCTGGACTGGTAGGTTAGTGAGCTCACAACTGATACGCTTGCACTGGTAATGCTATTCCAGATCGCCAGTCCTTTGGATTTGACCATATATGCCATTTTTTCCGTTAGTTATCATTCCCCTTTTTTCTAACATATGGTCTAACAGTCCACCCGTTCATTGAAATGAAATTAAATACTTACTACTTTGCTGTTTCACATTACTTTTTTTTTTAAACGTATTTTTTTAGCTTAAAATGGTAATTAAGACTTGGAGAAAACTTATCAATGCAAGCAATGCAAAGCAAAGCAATGGAAAAAAGGTATTCGATTTACCAGATTAGTACTGGTAAAAGCAGCGTTACTGCCCCACACTAGATGGAGTGACGACCTGATGAAACATACAGGTGCCTTTGGATCTTACACAACTTCTTGGGTTGTGCGCCCCCAATATTCTTCTTCTTCTTCGTTTAATAATAAAAGAGTTTTTTCTTCGGGGGCTTCTCTTTTAATGTTTTTTTTCTTCCCAAAAAAAATTTACTTTTTTTTGGTTTTTTTTTTGGGTTCCCCCCCCGGGCGCGCCCTTCTGCCACATCTTCTTATCGTGGCTAGTGTTAGGTTGGGACAATCCACGGGGGAGGTCTATGCTCATCAGTTTCTTTGTTTTTCTTTAAATAAACGTTACCTTAAGAGCCGTGGTAGCTCAGATGGTTAGCGCTCGCTGTAAATTTCACAATACGCGTACAAACCGGGTTGAATCCCCATCAGCACAAATGAAATTGTTAATTGCAATTTTAATGCTGATTTACCACGTGCTCGGCGGTGACGGAAAACATCGTTAGGGAACCTAAATGTCTAAGAAATAAGAAAAAAATATTTCGAAGACATCAGAAGTTTGTGGCATATGTGGTAGAGCCATGTTGCTGCTATATTATGGTTGTAGACTGGGGAAGGACCTCGCTCTCACAGAATACCAGCGTAAAATAGCAGATTAGTACTGTTGTGTTTCCTATGGTGAGTATAGAGATCCGGAGATCATTTTTTACTGGAAACGAGGCACTCTATCTTAGTTCTCAGGAGATATAACGCATCTGCGTTTTAATTCTTAATCGAGGATAAATGTAGATGTCTATGGGCCACAGCATCCACTTACCATTAGGTGGCCTGTGTGCTCGATTGTCACCCTTATTCTATAAAAAAAGTTCGACTACACGCTTTGGGGCAGCGCGGCGGATAATTCCTTACCCTAAACCCCTCTCAGAAATGAGCGTTGGCCTCTGCCTAAGAGGGGACATCTAAAGTTACTTTCACACTAGCATTTTCTACTGTATTATGGAGGCTGTTAACAAACATAAATTGCTCAAGGACAAATATCCAGACCCGGAACAATTATTTGCAAGCCATATAAATACTTGTGTCATGCGGTATTCTAACTCGCGATCCTTAGTACTGTTATCAATGCTAAGCTACGACACGGAACTATCAAAATGTTCAGCAGTGTACTCGCAGTGGCCTGTTGTCAGTGTGAGTAATAAGTTGCAACAGCGACCATGAACACCTATCATCACAATCATCATCTAAACGTGATAGAGCCACGCTGTAGCTATGTCATGGTTGTGGCACGAATGGGTCGGCTAGACCGGAGAAGGATCAAGCTCTCACAGAATACCAGCGTAAAATAACAGCTTAATGCTATTGCGTTTCGTATGGTGAGTTAAGAGAAATGGATGACCTTTTTGCTGCAAAAGAAACATTCCATTTTAGTCCTCAGTAGTGGCAACGCATCTACATTTCGATTCTTATTCGAGGACAGATGTAGATGTCTGTGTGTGGATGCTGAGCATTCACTTACCATCAGGTGGACTGTGTGCTTGTTTATCATCCTTATTTAATTAAATGTAATTCTCATATTATAGAATATGGGCGACAAACGAGCACACAGTCCACCTGACGTAGTGGAAGTTACCAGTATGTTACAAGAACGTTAGAGCTTTGGCGGCTGCTAATGACTAAATCAAATTGTCGTCAACGAGTTAGTAAATGTGACAGTAAGTGTATTAATTCGATAATTCCACTTGCAGGAAATGGTGAATCAGACCAAGCCCGACACGTTGAATTTGCCAGCAAACTCGACTACAATACGGGAGAATATTACTGACACCTTCAGGTACGGTAGGATTAAATTTAAAGTACAAAGTTCTAACCATGTAGTAGATAACAATATCCACTTTTCCATATCGTCCCGTCGGTGTCATAAGAGGCGATAGAGAGAAAATAAAACAAAATATGGGCAGCAGCATCTTCCCGATAACTCTTGAAAATTATAAAAAACTGCGGTTGCCAACCTACCTGCCAAGCATGGCAACTGTGAATCGGCAACTGTGGAAAAACCTCTCTACGATGTAATCCATAGGAAAGTGTGTTGAATGTGCAGTAGTGAACTTCCACAGGCTGTAATGTACAACGTTCTCAAATGCCTGGGCTGACGGCGGTCAGCATCAAAGGTGCGAGTCAAATTTTTTCTACAGTACAAGTTCAGTAGAGGATTGTCATGGACGTAAAAAAGAAAACATATTGCTATAAATTGAGTATAAAAAAACATGCGAGTGTAACAGGGCATAAGGGACACCCCAAATAGAAGTTTATTAATCAAAATGGTGATATTGACAATGGTCCAACTCTCAGGTTGGACCATTGTCAATAGGTTAGTCTTAACCCTTAGGTTGGTCTTAACCATATGGATGAACGAAGCGATGGAGGTGTGTCAGGATATTGCCAAATGAAAGTTCTTAGACTCTGCTTATCCTTCGGAATGACGTGCTTGATAATTTACAGAAAAGTAAGTAAATAAGGAATACCCATATCGTCTTGAGGGTGACGTAAGAATACGACATAAATTTATATAAAGTTAAAGTTACAGCCTATATACGTCCCACTGCTGGACACAGGCCTCCTCTCATTTCTGAGAGGGTTTTAGGGCAAGGAAGTGTCCGCCGCGCTGCCCCAATGCGTGTTGGCGAACTTCACATGTCTTCAAATTTTTTTTCTTATTTCTCAGACATGCAGGTTTCCTCACGATGTTTTCCTTCACCACCGAGCACGTGGTAAATCAGCACTTAAAATTGCAATTAACAGTTTCATTGGTTTGGTGGGATCGAACCCGGTTTGTTCGCGAACTGTGAAATTTACAGCGAGCGCTAACCATCTGAGCTACCACGGCTCTAAATTTATATAATACGGACATAATTTATTATGAGGACACAAACCAGGATGAGAAGCAATTTGAAAATTGAAAAAAAAAACTGCAGTTGCCAAACCGTAAGCGAAAAGTGGTAACTATGACAAATATATCAACAGTGAAGTTTCATAGTCTGTAATAAATAAAACATAGTAATGAAATAAGGAACGTTACAGTTTTTATAAGTCCTACGGCTGGTCTCCAGACACCTTTCATTTAGAGCGTGTTGACGGAGTTACATGTCGGTGAGGTATTTTATTTTTCCAACGTGCAGGTTTTCTCACAATGATTTCCTTAACCACATGGTGAATCAGCACTTAAAATTGAAATTAACAAATTTTTTTAACCTTGAATTGTTGGAAAGATGCTGCTGTTTATCCCGTGTTTGATTTTATTCTTTTGCCTCTTACGACACCCACGGGATGATACAGGTTAGTGGATGCTGTTACGTCTCCACTTCATTGCAAATTACTACAGTGTCATACAATATTTTATCCAAATATAGCTCGTACTTGACTGATTTTCATTTATCATTAGCAATCAGCCAAATTGTGAACCTAAATCATTAGGGACTCACTCAAATACACACAAAAAATTTATCAAAATTGGTCCAGCCGCTCTCAAGTTTTTTTATAGGAGAAGGGTGACAAACGAGCACACAGTCCACTTGATGGTAAGTGGTTGCTGTGGCCCATAGACATCCACATTTTTCCTCGATTACTAATCAAAATGTATATTGCGTTGGACTAAGACGGAATGCCTCCTTTCCAGTAAAAATGTCTCCTGTTCTCTACACTCACCATACGAGCCTACATCTACCTACGGAAACCATATAGAGACACATTCAAACACACACAAAATTTTCATCAAAATCAGTTTTTCGTTCACAACCGAGATGCACCAAAAATATTTAACATATGACATTCCATTTCAGTTGCGAGAACCGCATTTACGGTTACTATGCTGACGTTGACAACGAGTGCCAGGTATTTCACGTGTGCCTGCCCTCTCCGACTGTCTCTGGGCGCAACATTACTTACAGGTGGAGTTTCATATGTCCTGCGGAGACTGTATTCAACCAAGTAAGTGACTAATTAATAGAATCCAACGTTATCCATTATATTAAAGATATTATAAACTAATAACCTAAGATCCGCGATGCGAATGATGCGTCTTACCTTGTTAGAAGAGCACCCCCGCTTTCCCTCAATTGTGGGCACTATCGCGATCACCACTAACCCCAGCACCACTACTCTCAACATCACTACATTAGGAAAGACACATGACCGTCGATAATATGACTTGTGCCTCGTTTAGAGGCGGAACACATTGTATCTCGTATGTTATACGATATACAACGGGTTCCGCCTCTTTCATACACAACATATTACATTGATTCGGCAAACTGGCTCTGGCATTTTTGCTGCTCTCTATTGTTCGCTCTTCTTTTATATTTAAAACAGTAGACGTCTCTTACGGCATTCTAGGGATGAGATGTATCAATATTGGCGGCATAAAATAAAAAAAAAATAAAAATAAAGAATGTGCTTTGAACTTTTTCTTTTGAAGTGACAAACGAACTTATTGTCCACCTGATGATATGTGACTTCAGCAGCCATGACAGATATCAATGAGGTGCAGTGTGGTAAATATTCATGATCTGCAGCCAACTTTAAACCGAAGAATCAAAATGCAAATGCGTTGTCATCTCTGAGGATTAAGATGAAATATAAAGTCGGGGAAAAGGTTTCTTTGTATATTATATATAAATTCAAGACATTTTATTTTATAAAAGTTTAATTCCCTTAAATTATAATATATAAGATATGCCATTTTCTAAATAATTTGTTTGGCATCTTGTAAAGAGTGCATAATCCCGTTGTTGTAGAACTCTTGGGATATTTGATCAAAAAATGCGACAAGTAGTTTTGACAGTTCTCTCTTGATGTGCACCTAAAACTATCCAAACAATTCTGAAGATACCGAAACTGGTAAAAATATAAGGGTGCAAGGTTAGGACCATATGGTGGATGCATTAACACTTCCCAACTAAGTTCTTAAAATTTTTTCTGAGTGGTCAAAGATGTCTGTGGTCTGACGTTATCATGATGAAAGACCACTCCTTTACTGTTGATCAATTTCGGCTGTTTTTCTTAATTTCTTGCTTGAGTCTCATTAGTATTTACCAGAAGAGATTCAAGTCGATGATTTTGCCCGGCGGTAAAAACTCATAATAAACGATGCTATTCCAATCACACCATACACACAGCATACACCTTATTGCGTGTTAATGTGGTTTTCTCTATATTCTGTGGAGCTTGACTACCCTTTGACCACCTTTTTCTTGTCATAAGTGACTTTTCATCGTCAGTAATCAATCTTTTAAAAAACGGTTCGATTTCATAACTTTTCAATAGAAAATTGAAAATGAGTCCACGATTTATTAGGTTTCTTTCAGTGAGCTCATATGGTACCCAAATATCGAGCTTTTATGTGCAGCTGTACTTTTTCAAATAAGTCATAGCTGTTTGTAATCAATTCTCAGTTCTTCAGCCATGCCGTAACTACTAATATGCTGCTCTTGCTCCACTTTTTCAAAAATGACTTCGAATTTATCCGTAAGAGAGCGACGAGAGTGAGCTGTATCTTTGACATCATAATTTCCGGACTGAAATGCATGAACCAACTTTGTGTAACTCTTACTGACACTGCATTAGGTCCGTAAACGTCACATTTTTTTCGCGGCTTGGTCGCATTTTTCCCTTAATTATAATTAACCTTCAGAATGTATCGAATTTCTTCGTTAGATTAACTCATTTTGGCGGGCAGAAAAACAATTGAAAAATGGCGGGAAAGGGTTTCTGACTTTATATTTTTATTTCTCCTAATGTCCTATATGTATTAATATTAAAAGTAGCCAGATACAAACAGTACATCCAAAGAGTTTTTTACTTTTTCCCTGACCTATTATTTCAGAGCCCGTAATTATTATAGCGTTCTATATTAATAATGCTTTAAAAATTAATTTACTAAATTCCTGTTATCAGAGTATCATGAAACGAACAGGGCGAAATATTTTTATAGAATACGTCTTAATAATTAAAGGAAATTTATTTATTAACAGGAAGTGTTAACTTGCACTCGACCACGGGACGCCATTCCATGCGAAGAATCTCCAATGTTTTATGACGTTAATATGGAATTTGGGAAAGTTGCTAATGAGACAAAGGAGAACACAAAACCAGAAAGTTCTGGAAGTGCATCAGCGAATAATCCGAAAAAGGAGACAGTAGCAGTTAAACCGCAAAGATGGAATCAAGCGAATAGAAAGAGAGAAAACATTGTTGTTCAAACTCATTTCAAGGACGTAATTGAAAACACGAAATCAATAAAGGAAGATATTAAAGAATATGAAAACAAAATTATCGGAGCAATAAAAGAAGACATAAATAATGATAATCAGAACATGATTCACGAGATGAATCAAGATTTCAGTTATATTAATCAAGGTATACATGATCTGAAAGAAGAAATAAAGGACGTTGAAAGAGAAATAGTAAGTTTTACAGATAATATTAAAGACAGTTATAAATTACATGAGTTAAATGAAAATGTCAAAGAATTCAACCAAAATGAGGAAGGAGACAATAGATATAGTCGTACTAATGAGGAATATATGAATAAAATGAAACAAAATGGAAATGAAATGAATGTAGATCCACAAATGAATGAAAATAATGAAGGTGTAGAATTACCTCGGAGTATATTGGAGAAAATAGAGACTATGAATGCTGAACCTATTGCGCCTGCTGTGATTGAGGAAACTATTTCCGATGTACAGGAAGTTAGCGACGTGAATATAGCAGCGGAAGAGTTAGATAATTCTAGAATGACCTCTGAAAGAAGTTTAAAAAGAAAAGGTCGAAAAATTAACAGAGGTTCGCTTAAATTTAGACCTCATTTATTATAGAAATAATGAAGTGAGTGGCATGTAACAAATAAGTATAATTTACGTTCTACAATGATGTTTGAATCTGTGATTAATTTTTATAAATTTTAGGGAGTCAATCGAAGAGTAACATTAAAATTCTATACCGATTAGCGGATTTTTAATTTCTTACATAATATATTAGTAGATGTATCTGAAATTGATAACAATATACAGGCACAATAGTGAGATCTAATTTAAGCAATCAATTACTTAAGTAAAACTTAACTTATACTTTTTGTGCAATGTCTTTCAAGGCCTTGTTAGAAAATCTAAAATTAATCTAGGATTTGAGCTGTGCGATGCGATGGATTTGAATATGACTTGTAAATAGGGAATTTTACTAAAAAATATAAAAGATTAATATGCATGTTGTTTTATTATTTATAGAAGTATTTCACATCTAAATTCATCTAATTTTAAGAAAACCAAAATGATCTGTAAGATTGTGTATAAGATTTTCTCATGTATCGTGAATGCAGTTTACATATATATATATATATATATATATATATATATATATATATATATATATATATATATATATTACCCAAAAACAAATCATCCAGACCCGGAACAATTTTTTGTAAACCATACAAACACTTATTGATCCATGTGGGTATCGAATTGCGATACCGACCTATAGACTAGTCAAAGGTAAATTAAAATTGGTAAATGGATACTAGTGCTGGGATAGTTATGGCAGCAAGTTTAAAATTATGATAATCTATCTATCTGTCTATCTATGTTTAATAATAATTATCATCAAAAAAACTGAAATAAATTATTGATGAAGCAGAGTTAGCTGAGATGACTACCTTGGCTGATTCAATCTTCAATCGTTAACGCTATAAAAATATAAAAATTACTAAAATGGTCGATAAAGCATGTGACTTCGTGAGGAAGGCCCTGGCAATTCCAGAGAAAAAGAAAGGCAGAGAATTTTTTTTATAGAAAAAGAGTGACAAACAATTCCACCAGACGGTAAGTGGATACAGTGGCCCAAAGATATCTACATTTTTCCTCGATCAAGAATCAAAATGCAGATGCGTTATCACACCTGAGGACTGAGATAAAATGCGTCGTTTCCATTAAAAAGAGTTTCCGGTTCTTTACACTCATCATACGAAGCACATCCGCATTAAGCTGCTGATTTCTATATCTATACTGGTATTTTGTGAGATAGAGCCGTGGTAGCTCAGTGGTTAACACTCTCTGTAAATATAACAGAACGCGAGTAACCCGGGTTCGATCCCCGCCGGCACCAATGAAATTTATAATTGCAATTTTAAGTGCTGATTTACCACGTGCTCGGCGGTGAAGGAAAACATCGTGAGGAAACCTGCATGTCTGAGGAATAAGAAAAAAAATATTTCGAAGACATGTGAAGTTCGTCAACACGCATTTGGGCAGCGCGGCGGACACTTCCTTGCCCTAAACCCTCTCAGCAATGAGGGGAGGCCTGAGCCCAGCAGTGGGACGTATATAGGCTGTTACTTTACTTTACTTCACTTTATTTTGTGAGAGCGTGGCCCTATCATGGTCGAGCTAACCCATTTGTGCTGCAACTATAATATAGCTGCAGTGTGGCTCAACCACGTATAGATACCCGTTAGCCACGTGTTGGAAACTGTAACCAAGGATCTGTAACGAGTATAGCTTTACATACAGGCAAACCAAGATATAATATTTTGGCGCATAAAAACGAGGAGAGCCGACCTCAAATAAAATGACAAAGCAATGAAGAAGATCGATAGTCACGTGACTTAAACTGAGTTCAAGTTAAGCTATAATATAAAGCATAATTAAGCAAATATTATATAGCACAACAATATTATAGCTCTCAGCATTTGTTTCCATAGACACGTTCACATTACGCTACTCATTTATGCTTATTTATGCTTATTTATGCAGTAATGTGCATTACCATATTGCAGAATAGATCAGCCAAGCTCAGTTCATACTATACGTCTCTCAGTCGTAATCGTAAATATAAGCTATGAATAATAATGTAAATAAAATAAATATGTAAATATGAGGAATTTGGTTTTAGTCTTGAGGGATGATATGTGTAAGGCCTCAAACTTGATGACGTGTGTTGCGCGCACCTCCGTATGAAGAGGGACTGGAGATCTTCAGCTTCACTCTCTAAACCCGAAGCAACCTGTATCGGCTTCTATTATTTTAAATATGGTCGTGTGTGCGTTTTCGTAGCTCTGCCAAAGAGCGATCAGATGAACATCATGGGCTTTAAGCCGGTAGAAAACCGGCACTACTTGTTTGTTGCTTTCGCAATAGACAGGTGTGTTATTGTAAAGCCAAGCTGCAGCTATGTTATAGTTGTAATATGAATGGATCCGCTTGACCGGGGTAGAACCATGTTCTCATAGAATACCAGCGCAAAATAGCAGCTTACTGCTGCTGTGGTTCGTACGGTGAGTGTAGAGATCTGGATGCCCTTTTTTAATGGAAACGAGGAATTCCAACTTAGGGGTGACAAAGCATCTGCATTTAGATTTTTAAACAAGTACACATTTAGATGTCTACGAGCTACATCATCCTATTACAATCAGGTGGACTTTGTGCTCGTTTCTCACCCTTTTTTATTTAAAAAAAAATAATTTAAAAGGCTTCTATTCCTACATATAACACAATTTTTGGATACCAAAAGCATACAGCTGTTCGATCAATATTAAGAAGGAAATCAATTAACCACGTAAATCCGTTGTTATTGCGTCTGATTTCTCTCCGGTCGTGTCGGTTTACCGTCCCATCGCACTATGAGAATGAGGCAATAGAGATTGCATCTGTACCTGCGCATACACTCGGGCACTACAATTCTGTTCTGCGCAGACAACCAGTCTCCATTAAGGCTGGCCACCGTGACCGAAATTTGGTCTGGTGGACGTTATTAAGAAGGAAAAAATGCAGGTCACTTTTTATTCAGACGTTTACTGACAATAGCATGGGCAGCAGCGTCAAAGATGCGAGACGTCTGGTGCTGCGAACGTCAATCCGTCTGCCCGGCGCGACGAATTAACGCAAATCCTCCCAAAAATTGGAGAGGCTAATTAACATCAGGCTTTTGTGGACTAATGTTGATATTGGGTGACATTCAGGAATTATTATCGTTAAAGATTTGGTATTGTTACGCGCTCAAGTCGACGATACACTAGCGCCATCTAGTGTCAGGAACGAGAGCGAGGGGAGCATTGAGAAAATGACATCACAAATCACTCAACCGACAGCGCCACCCGAAGAACTAAGTTTCTGGAAAATCTACACTCGAATACTCGTTGCCTGGCGCGCATTTACTTGAATGTTCGGGACGCTTCTTTGCTAATTATATAAATAGGCGCTGCAAGATGCGATCGGGGCAGAGTTGAACTCGGCGACACAAGCGAAGCTTCGGAGCGGAATTAAGTGAATTAGTGTGTTTAATTACTAGTGTTTTAAGTTTTAATTTGTGTAAAGTAAATTAAAGTGTTAATTTAGGTAATTTTATCGGCAACTTTTATTGTCACGAACCTCAAGCTCGTAACAATTGGTGTCAGAAGTGGGATAAAATAATGCCGATTTTACCTAAGGAGGAAACGGAGGGTGTCCGTACCCGAAGTCAACGCCAGCAGGAGACGGACCAACGAAGATTTGGTGGTGCAACACCGCAGACGTCGGAGGGCCAGCCGCCGGCAACGGAGGCCGGTCCGTCAGTAGCTCCTGCATCTGCAGTACCTGATTTAGGCGCTCTGATGGTGATGCTGCAGGAACAGGCCCGGCGGTTGGAAGAGCAGCTGCGGGGCGGACAGGAGGAACAGGCCCGTCGCTTAGAAGAGCAGCTCAAACGCGATATGGAAGAACAGATGCTTCTCATGAAGGACCTTCACGCTACCTTCAGGAAATAGATAAGGGAGGTGAAGGATAAGGTTGCTCAACATGATAACCGCCTGTCGGAAGCTGAGACCAAAATCAACCAAGTTAAGAAAACGCTGGATGAACTCAAACTTGGGGATGGAACCACAGCTCCCGTAGTAGCTTCAGCACCTTCGCTACGTGGGTTCAAGGTGCCACCGTTTGACGGGACTTCTTCCTGGGCAGCCTACAAAATCCAGTTCGAGGCTGTTATGAAAGCGAACGGCTTGGAATAAAAGTCAGGCCATGACTGCTCTCACACTAGGCCTGCGCGACCAGGCCTTAACAGTTCTGGAAGCTCTCGGTGAGGAAGTGACTTATGAGCAACTCCTTGAGGCGTTGGAGGCGAGATATGGCGACCCTCACCTGGAACACGTCTTTCGTGCGCAGCTTAAAGATCGCGTGCAGCGCATCAACGAAAACCTGCAGCAGTGGGCTCTAGAGGTGGAGAAGCTGGTGCGAAAAGTATACCTGTCTGTACCTGCGCTCATTGAAGGTAACCTGGTGCAGACATTCATCGACGGCATCCGCGACCTTGAAGTCAGAGCTGCTGTGAGGCTGGGGCATCACGAGACGCTTAAGGACGCCTTGGCCCATGCACTGGAGGTGGAAGCCGTGCGGCAGGATCATCGTTCCCATCGCGTCAGGGAGGTTGCAGCCGCTACAGTCCGTGACCGCAGCAAAGGATACAGCCCTAGGTGCTATGGCTGTGGGGAAAAGGGCCATCTTCGATCCAGCTGCCCTAAACGAACCGTGGAAAGGAGAGTTGATCGATCTCGAGAGGGTAGTGCAGCTAACGGCACTGCCTGGCGACGACAGGATCATCGTTCACCTTACGCTAGGGAGGTTACAGCAGTTACGGTTCGCGACCACAATAAAAGATACAGCCCTAGGTGCTATGGCTGTGGGGAAAGGGGCCATCTTCGTTCCAGCTGCTCTAAGCACACCCTAGGAAGGGAAGGTGAACGGTCTCAGAAAGGAAGTGCGGCTAACAGCACCGCCCAGCAGCAGCAGGAATACGACTTTACTATCAGACACTGCAGCGGGAAATCTCACGGCAACGCAGATGCATTGACAAGAAGACCTTGTCCTGAAGATTGCAACCATTGTAGTAGGCAAGAGAGTAAGGAAGTGGTATCCGTGAGGATGCTCAGGACAGACCACCTCAGGTGGGTGGACAACGGGTTCAACGGGTGGAAGGACAGCCTACGACATGCACAGCAGGAAGATCCGGACATCAAGCCGATTCTGGGATGGATGAAGGCCCGTGCTACCAAGCCTAAGTGGAGGGACGTCTCAGCGATGAGTTCAACCACGAAAAGCTATTGGGCCCAATGGGATAGCTTGCTGATTCAGGATGGAGTCCTGTGCCGTAAATGGGACAATGGTCGAAGAGACAGCTGTCGTTTGCAAATGGTTGTCCCTAAAGCTAAAGTGCCGAATGTTCTACAGCTGTGCCATAATGGTCGTTCAAGAGTCCATCTGGGAATTAAACGAACTCTACTGAAGGTCCGAGAACAGTTTTACTGGGTCCATTATCGTGACGATGTCGAGGATTGGTGTCGTACATGTACAAGTTGTGCGGCCGTGCGGGGACCTCAGACACGTAGTAGAGGAGCACCGAAATTGTACAATGTTGGTGCACCACGGGATAGGACAGCCCTTGACATTGCGGAGCCGTTACAGAAAGGCGCAAGAGGGACTCCTAAGATCGTCCATGTGGATCGCTTGGCGCGTTATTATGGGGCCGATAATGCTCGGGACGAGCATGTCTTAGGAGGGGGCAGTGTTACGCGCTCAAGTCGACGATACACTAGCGCCATCTAGTGTCAGGAACGAGAGCGAGGGGAGCATTGAGAAAATGACATCACAAATCACTCAACCGACAGCGCCACCCGAAGAACTAAGTTTCTGGAAAATCTACACTCGAATACTCGTTGCCTGGCGCGCATTTACTTGAATGTTTGGGACGCTTCTTTGCTAATTATATAAATAGGCGCTGCAAGATGCGATCGGGGCAGAGTTGAACTCGGCGACACAAGCGAAGCTTCGGAGCGGAATTAAGTGAATTAGTGTGTTTAATTACTAGTGTTTTAAGTTTTAATTTGTGTAAAGTAAATTAAAGTGTTAATTTAGGTAATTTTATCGGCAACTTTTATTGTCACGAACCTCAAGCTCGTAACAGTATTACACTCAAATATATCGTCAAGTGTGTCTTCATAAAAATATTAAATAAAAGATGTTAAAAAATATTTAGCTAATACCCATATAATAATAAAATAGAAGTACCTTACATAAATTATGTGTGTTACTCATATAGGAGACCACCTCCCGTCCTCATACTAGTCCCACTACCATACTAGAACAACATGTGAGTCTCACTCAGCGGTCAGCCACCGCTGAGTCTATTTCACCTGAAGATGCCTAGTTTAGAGGCAAACCACATGCCGTATTATCGTCGGTGGTGTGTCCTTCCCAGTGTAGTGGTGTTGGTATTAGTGGTGACGGAGATAGTGCACGCAATTGAGAGAGGGCGGGAGGTGCTATTAAAATGGGTATGACCCAAAATTTTATTTTACTACATGAATCTTTGATAATTATTTTCTAACATATTTAATATAATGAAATGGAACGAAGTTCCTTTATACACACACACACACACACACACACACACACACACACACATACACACACACACACACACACGTATATATATATATATATATATATATATATATACGCGCTCTGTATGTCTATTATTTCGTACATGTCATAGATGCACGGGACTTTGTAAACACATAGAACACGCACAGCTTGTCAAATACATACGCATTGATATTGTAATATTAAAATATAATTTACTTTTAAATTTATTAAAGTTATTACGCGTACACTTGCTAAACACACAACAATGAAGAGATTATAACGCGTATGACTTTGTTAACACAATAGTAAAGAGAGCTTATAGTGCGTACTTGCTAAAATACATAAGTATTTTTTACTGTCTGAATAAAATCTCTACTTACCTAACTTCATCTTACTTGTGCAGAAACACTGTCAGGATTCATTATTGTTATTATTTTTTATTATTTATTATGTACAAAAAACCTGTATAGACTCAACAAAAATAATCGTCGCGACACAACACTGTTCAATGCGAAATAGAAAGACGAAACGAAAATAACTGGCTTGCTTTCTATGAGAGAGAAAGAGAGAGAGTGAGAGACAGACAGACAGACAGAGAAACACGCGCACGCCGCACGGCTTACAAGTATAGCAAAAAGTGTCGTTATAACTTTTGGTCTTAATTTTTTCCGTCTAGCCCCCTTTCGCAACGCGCGATAAGGAACTTCGTTCCAAAAATTGTAAGTAAATTGTTTTTTTAACTACTTATTGAAGAGTTCAACTCAAGTAGGATGTTCGAGAAATACCTCCCTTTAAATACACTGAACAACTGGATATAAACCTGAGGCGGCGCTGTCGTCGCGCCACAAGCTAAACACACCGAAGCCGAAATCACGCTATCAAAGTTTGAGTTGAAGTACTGCGCTTTAATATATAGAACAGCTCTGTACTAATACATAGGGCGTTGGCTGCTCCCCGGGTTGAACACCTAGCCTGGCAGGAGACCTTCCTTTATAAACCACGGCCAAATTGGTGACCAAACGACGTGATTTGAACATGCAACATTAAAACCATCGTAAAAACATAATTTTTTTCGTTAGCATCTTCAAGTACTCCACCCATTCGCTCCCAAGCAGATATTGTCTGCAGTCTTTAGATACTGCAAGCCATCCTGCTTTTTACAAGGTTAATCGCAGCATTTGAATAACGCTTCCTGTTCCTTCAAATTACTCTCTGCGCTACAATGTTCTGCACGGTTCTGAGTCATACTCCTCCCCGCTGCTTCTTTGCACTCTCACAGATTACTTGCCTTCTTCTCGACTCATTGCAGACTACAAAGCAATAATTGGCACTTGCAGATTCTTTGACGACTAGACTGCACCATCGACCTCCGGTCTGAACAGTCGTCGCACCACAAGCGAAACACACCGAGGCCTAAATTACGCTTTGAGAGATCTGAAGTACTGCGCTATACATAGAACAGCTCTGTGCTAACACATGAAGCATTGGCCGTTCCTCGGGCTGAACCTCGGACCAAACACATTTCGAAAATTGTGTTAACTTAAGCAAAAATGACTTGAAAAAATGGCCCTACCTGTGGGTAGAGCCATTCTTTCAAGTAATTTTTGCTACCTCAATGGCCCTACCTGTGTGTAGTGTCATTCTTACACTAGGCAGGCAAGTCGATGAGCGTGGACCCATATGGGGCAATGTTGCTCCATGACCAGTTGGTTGTATTTGAGATCATTGGTTATAGATTATCTTTTCACTTTCGATTGGCATTTCGAGAAAAAAATTTCATATCCTCCCTTGTAACACCAAGTAACCTCAACGAAAAGAGAATCTGTCGGGATCACAACGTGATGCGTTAAAGTTTTTACATGCGTTGGGATCCTAAATGAGGATATTAGTACATTAATACGAGTAACGAGCCTGTGAAACACTCAGTAAATAGGTGTGGGTGGTTTTAGCAAGTACATTTTGATTTTTAATAATTTCTGCCGGACAAACTACCATATCTCACTATTAAAGGTGGTTGGTGTTCTATAAAACAGCCTATTAAATTGAACCTTTGTTTATAATAACCGCCACTTCGTAGGTAAGTAGTAAAGAAAATGATTTTATTTATGTAATCTAAGCAATATTTGAAATCATAAGTCTGAAATTGCAAAAAGTTATTACATTATGCATAATTACACAAAGCAGTAAATGATAAATTAAAAGTATACACACGAGCATTTCATAAAGCTGTCTAGAATTTTTGTTTTCTTATCACTGGAGTTAATAACATTTTCATATGCTTGATTTAATATCGAAATACGGTTTTTAATTTAAACGCTCATTCTTTCTACGATGTTGTAGAGAATGTGTGGAATATCTATAAGAATGACTTGAATGTTTTTTCATAAAATGAAAGTCTACCTACTGATTTTGTTTTGCGCTTGTATAAATATAGTAAAAGCAGATACAGATAGTGATGAAGCAAAGTACATTGATTTATTACCGGAGGAAGAGAAACAAGAATTCTTAAATAGAATTGCCAGGCGAATTTTAGGAGAAATTAGAAGTAGAGGAAATCTCGGAAAGTCCAGTATTGAAATTTCTGATGAAAAACTCAATGAAAACGATGCTTATGTTCAAAAAATTATGGAAGAAGAATCTGAAAGCATAAAAAATGAACGTAGATTAGGAGTGGATGGATTAAAAAATGAAAATCTTAAAGAAGACGATAACGTTGACATAAGAGTGAAGCCGTTACCTGAAAATCAATTCAATGGTCAAGAAAACCAGGAAAATTCAGAAATTACAGAATTAACTGCATATGAAATGAAAAAACGAATGAAAAAAGATACACCTGAAAATAATGAGCGGATATCAGATGAGAATATAGCATTCAATAGGGATACAGTTTCAGATATACCAGTACATGTAATTTATGATGATGATAAGAATTCCAATAACGTAGTTAAAAGCAGCAATTTTAATAACGATAACATAGCAGTTAGTGAAGATAACAATAAAGACGTCAGTGAAAAACAAAATTCTCAAGATGGATTGCATAATGAAAGTAAAAAATCGGATATTACGGATATGCGTAAATCGAATTCCAATATCAATTTAGAGGGGAATATAGAAAACAAAGGTATAGTCTCAATCCCACAAACATCTAGTAATGATTTTGATTTACAGCAAGAAGATTTTGTAGAGAGAAATGCAATGATTCCAAATGATAATGGTAAAAAGTCTTCAACAGAAGCAGAAAACCTAGAGACGGTTAAAGAATATACACAACGTGATGGTGCTGATGATTATCTCGAAATGAAATATAGAGAAAATGCTACAAAGAATAATTTAGATACAAGGCCTAGCATGAAAGAATTAAAAAATGTCACTGTCGATAGTAACCAGTTAATAATCGGCTTAACAACAGATGCTTCAAATGTTTTGAATACAAATTCTCTTAGTATTCAAAATAATGTCAGTACTTCAGGTGGGATAATAAGAAATGAAGTAAATATAGGAAAAATAAAGTCTCAACCTTTTTTAAATAACACAAAGGAATATTTTAATAATAACGATCTTTTGGACGAGAAAGTAAACCCTGAAATAGAAAATCAGACAAACAAGATTGGTATACATCATAATAAAAATTTTACAAAGAATGACAACTTGGAAACATACATAGCTTCAAACAAAGACGATTTAATTGAAGGAAATTTTGAAGGAAACGATTTCAGCAACGACAAAACTGTATTAAGAAAAAAAATTCAACTCAATGAAGATTCCGCAGAAGATGCTGAGCATGCATCCTCAGAAGAAATTATTGTCAAAACAAACAACTCCAACACATTTCCATCGTTAAATACACACAGCATGAGTGATTCATATAAAGTGTACGAAATTCGTAAGTTTGATTTTACTAAGCATAACTCTATACAATATAATATTTTTATTTTTGTATTTTATACCTATATCTATCCTTCTCATCCTTATTTATATCTTACAAAATTTTCATAGTAACATTAATTTTAACGCGTTTTTTTGTGTATGACAGAGAACGCATATGGAATAGATTTCAAAAAGTATTTTTGAGATTTCGTTTTAAAGGGTTGTCTTTAACTCTTCCTCATTTATATAGGCTGTGATAGGAGATTTAAACAGATTAATAAAATAATTTTTCTATAACTACATGTTCTGAAAGTTTTTGTTGACCTTTTTATTACAAAGAATAGAAATAATAATAATTTCCAATAACCCTTATTTTAACTCGGTTCTTAAAACATCCAGTTTTGAGACAATGTATGTATATTTACTAGTAAAACATAATAAATAAACGTAAAACTTTTTTTATATTAACACGGCACTCTTATTAATTATATACTAAAACTAATAATAATACACAAATACATACAAACATTCTAAAGAACATCTAATTGACGCGATCCTGGCGTACGTCTTTCGCTATTTTTTTATTAATTGGTTACCTATCTACCTATCTTAAATTCTGCCACTTATTTTTGCAGCAAAAATATGATATGAGAATCTTTTCTTATTTATTCTTTTTATGTGTGTAAACCACAGAAGCAATACAAACTCTTATAAAACAATGTCGTACACAAACATATTGTCGCGATCATCAAGGATGTGTTTTTGAACTGCATCCTAAGATCATATTTTATATTTATATCATATATTATATATTAACTATCACTTAAGTGTTAAATTCGAATCGAGTAATTAGGCTTCTATAGTTGCTCGCACACTGCTATTAAGCTAGTTACAATATGAGGTAGACTACAGTAGTAGATTCGATATTATTAGTTTTTAAATTTATTTGTGACCAGAGACGGGAAGCAGCGTCGAAGGTGCGAGATGTCTGATATCGCGATCTTAAATACGTTTGCCAAGCGTTGCTATTAAGATAAATCTCGGTAAATGGAAGAAGCCTAAGTCTCACAGATGACTTCTACGAGCTATTGATGAAGAAGCTATTGATGCAAATATTGATAAATAAAAAACAGTTTGATAATTTTACCGCATTAATTTTAACTTATTTTGAAATACCAATATTCTGAACGTGATGACTTAAGTGATCAATGTTCTTATATTATTGTAAGCCCGAACTACCTTTACGTTTTAGACACAAATTGTGGCTATAAGAAACTTGTGGTGGTGTGCTTGTGATTAAGATTAATTTTTTATTAATCACGTTAGGAGTTAAAACGAGTCGATCGTAAACACGCTTACTGTTAACAACATCATTATATTACAATCGCGTCCTTTATTCAATATTATTTTGGACAGTACGACCTGTACATTATACTCGTAAGTTGAAATTTAATTTTGTTACTTTTCAGATAACAAATACCCTCCATTTGTAACGTCTGAACAAAAAAGTAATGGAAAATTTGTTGATGAACCGTTTTACGCTCCTGTGTACAATTATGCACCTAGCAATGCATTTTATAGTGCTTATAATCGCTTTGGTCCTAACTTCAAAGAAAACTATAGAGTGATTCAAAACGTAGGATCATTTGAAAATGAAAAAAGTTATGAAAAAAACCAATTAAATAACTATTTGGATTATACCAGAAGTCATTCGCTTGAGAAAAACATTCAAAGAAATTTTGAGCTAAATGCTCATAAAAGTAACTTAAAACCTTTTTCAAAAGAGTTTACTGATATGAATTTTAACCCTTATGAATATTTAGATATGGATTATTATTTTGGAAGAATTAGTAATAAACCCGGATCTATTTACAATGATTTTACTAACGAAAATTCTCAGAATTTACCACCTGAACACATTTCAAAAGATTTGTTATGGAAAGATAGTTCAGAAGATGTAATAGATCCTGATCCCATTGTAGATAAATATAATATAAAGGATAAGATTAGGAAAATTCGGAACATATTATACTTACAAAAATATGGCAAAGATGTTGTAGTAAAACGTACATTAGACAAAAAAAGACGGGAAGGTAATACACAATTTAGAAATAAAAATCAGTATTTACTTGATTCATCGTCGAAAGGAAATGACCAAACCAAATTCGTTTGGATACCAGGAATACCAAAGAAGAAAGAAAATAACGTAGCAGTCGATTATTACTTTAGTAGAATGAATGAAGAAGAACCATTGCTCCACAATATTAAACCCAACATATATTTAGGAGATGGAAAAAATACTCTGAAAATTGAGAAAAGAAGCAAAAACGAAATGAAACCTGTTTTCAAAAATATTAAAGTTTTAGAAGAAAAACGTCTTCAGATGCCATTTAAAAGTGATAATATGTTAAAGATTGATCTAGCCATGACAGATGGTAAAAACATGAATATAATATTTAGAAAAGTGAAAAGGCCTGAACGTAACGAATTTCGTGCTTATTTATATGCTTGCTTAAATGTATTAAAGGATATGATTGAACATAACAATAAAGGGCTACTGGGCTACAATTGGCTCGGTAGTACGGTGGATCTGCAATCAGCAATATGGAAGCTGTTAGACTTAACGTAAGTAAAAATTCAGCTCTTTAAAATTTTAATTAATATAAAATACCGTTTCAGAACGATTTCTCATATTTACGCGAACACTACACATTTGAATAAAACTAGTTTTTACAGATTTTATCGCGTATATTAAACTTTATTTTATTCCCGATGTTTCGAGCATTTTACAGCACCCATGGTGGGACTGAGGTGTTCAACGTTCAGATGTCATAGTTAACCACGGTTACCCACAAATTAAAATTATTGGTTTTGTTCCGATCTACATAGTATGAACTTATAGTATCTTGAAGTCTTGCAGTTGTATGCTTGGATCGGGATTTAATTTTTTAATTGTAGGGTGCAAAGCAGGTAGTGCCGAGCCAACTTCTCTACTGAAATTAGGAGGTTTTTTATTTCAATAGCCTCGCGGATCTACCCTGGAAGGTATCGGTGTTTTGTTTTTGCAAAAATTTTTGAGTCCATAGAAAGGCAATGTTTATATAAATTTAATTTAATTTATTCTACTGACAAGCGAATGAATAACTGCAGTATCAGGCGTCGCACACCTACATGCAGCTGCCCGTCCCTGGTAAGAGTGTTTTAACCCTGGCGTTAACGAGATGATATATCACCACTTATCGGAAGTCATAATTTCTTTCTGTCATTTGCCGTAGATGTCTACACAAACAAACCTTTCATATACGTTTTGTCGTGCACTCCTCATTATGATGGCCTAAGAATGGATGTGATAAATGATAAATGATGTCGATAAAAAGAAATAAAACTTTAGTTGGTGGTAGGACATTCTCTGCTCAGTAGTCCGTCGACCACCTAAAATAGTCTCGCTGGGTTTCTTGCTGGTTCTTCCCAGGACCGAGGTTTTTTTTGCGAAACAGTGATAAATGAAAAAAGTGACTTTCAATAAGTATTGTTTATAATCTACATTAAATCAAAAAGTTTCTGTTTCTGTTCCTACCGTAATAGCCACGTACTTCTTTCTGGCGGCAAATAGTAGTGCTTTCAGAGCTGTGTTGCAGTCTAAAGGGTATATAGAGAGCAAGTACAATCACACGCTGTAAAGCATTCCATCTTAGTCCTTTATGGTGACAACGTACCTGCAGGTAGACTGTAAGTTCGTCTATTACTTCAGTTTTTGAAAAAAAAAATTGGATATTTTGGTAAGTTCAATGTTCAACTCAATAACAACTATTCTATATAAACCTGACTCTACACACGGAGATAATATTAGAGCAAAAGTGTTGGTGACGAGGCATTCCAGTTTAAACTTTAGTCCTCCGGGATTTTAACATATCCACATTTTAATTTTAATATCGGATATATTTAGGCGTCAACGGACTACAGCAAACACTTACCACTAGGTGGATTGTATGTCTGTGTGTTAAGTTGTCAGTCGTTGGTTGATTGGTACTTGTATATAACATACATTATTGGTTAGGGTTGGCAAATACGACTGCCTGATAAAAACTTAACTATTTCACTGTCTTTTGAGTCATATATGATCATTTTACTTGTATAACTATTATGTCTTTTCGCGGACAGTGATGTTTTTAAAAGTCACATGAAAATCTCTTATTAAAAAACGACAGTAGCCTAATGGCAGGGCGCGGACCGCGAACTCAAAAAGGTAGTGGTTTCGAATCCGCCATTCGACTACTGGCGTGAACCACTCGTAACACAAGCAATTTAAGCTTACCACGAGTGGTTAAGGGGAATATTAGTAATGTTTATAACATTGTTAATATTCTTTTTTTTAAGTATAAAAGTATTATGTGACGCATGACGGGACAAGTGTACCTTTTTTATCATTTGGTAAAAATAGGGTGTAACATGTGAACGAAGTAAAAGCATATGCACCGATATTTTACGAAAGATAAAACAATTTTTTTCCAGACGGTAAAAAAGTCTTCTATTATAGGAGTCGCAGAAAGGAATAATAATATGCTTGATCACTTGATGTTTGCTTTACTACGGTTATAGCACGAAAAAGTACCTCAATCGTTGTTGCAATCGTTTAAAAAATATCACACAATGGCTGCGTTTAGCAGAAAAAAGCGCTAGCAAGTGCTTGTAAGCAAAATGGCGAAACTAACAGTTTTCGGCCAGGACACGTTTGCTAACTTCAGTAGCGCTGACACAATCCGCCATTTTGCTTATTTATTTTGTTTGTTTTGAAGTAGAGTTTATAAGTTGTTTTGTGCAATTAGTTTCAAGTAATATAATGACATGAATAAACATATTATACATGTTATTAAAAATTCATGATCGGTAAGTTTTTAATATGAATACTTTACAAACATATATTTAAATTAGGTTAGCTTCCCCGGTTAAAGCTTAGTGTCCTAGAGGAAAATAGCTATTTACCATTTGACAGCGCTTACCGCTTACGATCGCCATTTTGCTTACAAACGCTTCCTAGCGCTTTTTTCTGCCAAACACAGCCATTGGTGGTACATATCCCTACTACCTATCAAAACTGAACCTAGCAACAGTTCGAATGTGTAAGAATTATACAATCCTAATACTTTTATAGTATGGAAATAAGTAAACAACTGTTATAAATGTTACTGATAAGTCAATTAATTTTACAAATGTTTAGGAAATGAAATTACTTACTATACTAAATTACTTACTTACTATATACCTATAATATATTTTTTATTTATTTTTTTAAAAACGTTACTATTATGTTAATATACTATAATATTCTTTGCAAATCTCTCAAATTCTAAATTAAAATAAACTCAAAATCAATTTTATATTTGTAATTAATTTCCAGCATTTTGAATCATACAAAAAGAAGAATGGATTTTCTTTACCATTTGTCTATAGAGCCGTGGTAGCTCAGATGGTTAACGCTCGCTGTAAATATAACAGAACGCGAGTAACCCGGGTTTGATCCCCGTCGGCACCAATGAAATTGTTAATTTCAATTTTAAGTGCTGATTTACCATGTGCTCGGCGGTGAAGGAACACATCGTGAGGAAACCTGCACGTCTGAGGAATAAGAAAAAAAGTATTTCGAAGACATGTGAAGTTCGCCAACACGCATTGGGACATCGCGGGTGACACTTCCTTGCCCTAAAACCCTCTCAGAAATGAGGGGAGGCCTGTGCCCAGCAGTGGGACGTATATAGGACGTATTGTCTATATCATTTATGCTAAACCTTATCCGCAAATTTGGCCGGTTATTGCATAATAATCCTGTATCAAGTTTACGTGAAAAATGTATAAATTCATTTATTTTTAAATTTGTAAAATTTTATAGATTTTTTATAAACTATTGATTAGAAGCAAGCATCTTCCTAATCAAAGCTGAATAAAAAATATGGTTGCCAACTCGCTTACAAACCGTGGCAACTATGGCAAATATGCCCCTCAAGAAGTAATTCACCGGGGAATGTGCTCAGCAGTGGACTTATAATAAGCTGTAACGGTATTGATCATATCAGCGTCTACTTTACCGCTGCTAAAGTAATCAAATATCTTAATTTTCAGTAACAATTTAAAAGAACCTAGTGACGTTCATTATTCCGATGTAGAACTTTTTAAATACATCGTATATCTGTTCAAATCTTCGAATACGCGCCTCGAAGAAGCTAAGAGAGAACTGAGTTATAAAACTCGCAGTGGTAATCAAATTGAGAAACGTACTGTCAAAAGAAAAATGCTATTGCCAAGAAATGGTAATAAGAAAGTGGGAGAGAAGATAGATAAACCACTGGAGAGATGGCTACAACTATACAAAAATATAAGACATAGTAATAGTATAATTGAAATTGACGTTCTTTTAGAGTTTGAAGACTTTTTGACAGATCTACAGGAAAGTTTGTACGAGGTAGGAATGTAAATGTTAAAAGTATATTTTCTTAATAACAATTTAACGTAATGATTTCTTATATTTACGCGAACACTACACATGATTAAAACTACTTTTACGGATTTTATCGCGTTTATTTTTGCTTTTAATTACTTTTATTTTTTAATTCCCGACGTTTCGGGCGCTTTCCAGCACCCATGGTCACGGGGGACTGAGATGACTGACGTCCCGATGTCATTGTTAAACCCGGAGTACCTTCAGCTTTTTTAATTATTGTTTATGGTCCGATCTATGCAAAATGAACTGACTGTGTCCTGAGGTCTTGCAGTGGTATACTTGGGTTTAGTTTTAATTTTAATGATTATAGGATCCCAAGCAGGTGGTAGTACCCAGCCTCCTTCTCTATTGAAATTAGGATGTTTTTCAATTTCAATAGCCTCACGTATCATCCTTGGTAGGAATCGGTGTTCTTTCGCGAGGATTTGTGGTCTTTCAATTCTGATGTAATGGTTGTCAAGCATACCACTGCAAGACCTCAGGACATAGTCAGTTCATTTTGCATAGATCGGACCATAAACAATAATTAAAAAAGCTGAAGGTACTCCGGGTTTAACAATGACATCGGGACGTCAGTCATCTCAGTCCCTCGTGACCATGGGTGCTGGAAAGCGCCCGAAACGTCGGGAATTAAAAATAAAAGTAATTAAAAGCAAAAATAAACGCGATAAAATCCGTAAAAGTAGTTTTAATCAACAAATTAACGAATAGTCACACTGCTAATGGACGCCGATAGTTGTTTACAGAAGGGTACGGGTCACCCTTCTGTAAGCTTCTATCACGCCACGCTGCAGCTATATTATAGTTGTGGTACGAATGGGTCTGCTCGACCGGGGAAGCACCACGCTCTCACAGAATACCAGCGTAAAATAGCAGCTTAATACTCCTATATTTTGTATAGTGAATGTAGAGAGCCGCAGACATTTTTACTGTAAACGAGACATTCCATCTACTAAGATGACTACCTCAAGAGTGACAACGCATCTGCATTTTGATTCTTAATCGAGAATTAATGTAAACATTTATGGACCACAGCATCAACTTACCATCTGGTGGATTGAGTGCTCGCTTGGTGCTTCACCTTTATTCAATATATAAACAAGTGCGTTTGGTGATTCTGGGGTTGAAGGTTCGAGTTCCAGGTCGAGCAATGACCAATTATTAAATTTTCTGTCAAGAATTTGGACTCGGAAAGAACGTAAAAAGCCGTTGGTCCTGCGCTTGATCTCTCTCCGATGGTACCAAAGTGCCGATCCGTCGGATTATGAGAGCAAAGGACTATAAAGTGCACCTGTGTTTGCGCACACATTTGTATTCATTTTTATTCGGTACCGCCCTACACTTCGCATACCAGTATGAACTGCAATGGTTGTTCGTTCTTCAAATTATATGGCCAATAATTAATTTTTCATTTCATCATTCATTATTATAGCCTTTCACAAGTTCACTGCCAAACATAAGCCTGCTAAGTAATGCCACTATACATGGTCCTGGGCCACTTGCACCCTTCGATCTTCCTGTATGTTTTATCAAGTCACCACCTTCACCTATTTGTGTTGCAGTGAAAGGCCAGCGTAAAATAATCCACTTGTAATCCACTCCTTTGTTGTACCGTGTGTCGTAGGAGACGACAGAGTAACTAGACCAGGATACGAGCGGCAGCGTCTTTCCAATGACAACTAAAAAACAAAAGCCTGCCAAGCCTGCCAAGCGTGGGAACTGGCAAATATCTGAATTATGTGGTAATCTATGGCGTAGGTGGTGATGTTGGAGATATGAACTTTAGATAGTCCGTAATGATGACAGCAATCAATATGAAGCCAATGACCATTTTGACAGTTGATATTATAGATAATATGTTTAATATTGTGTAGTGTATTGAATAAAAAATTTACGGATTCTATCGCGTTTAATTAATTACTTTTACTTATTTTTGATTCCCGACGTTTCGGGTGTTTGAAGGCACCCATGGTCACGGGGGGGACTGAGATGTTTGACGTCCCAATGTCATTGTTAGCTCGGCTGCCTTCAATTTTTGAATATTAATTTTTGGTCCGTTTTACGCAAAACGAGCTTACAGTATCTAGAAGCCTTACAGTGGTATTCTTGGGTTTGGGTTTAATTTTGTTAATTATAGGATCCCAAGCAGATGGCAGCACCTAACCATCTTCTCTATTGAAATTAGGATTTTATTTAATTTCAATATCCTCGCGTATCATCCTTGGTCGGAATCGGTGTTCTTTTGCGAGGATTTGTGGTTTATCAAATCTGATGTAATGGTGGGGACGATCTTGAACATGTTCACAGACTGCAGACTTCCCGGAGCGTCGGTGCTTCACGTCAGCTATATGTTCTTTCACGCGGGTTTTTATAGATTTTTTTGTTTGACCTATGTAAGAAAAACCACATTCACATTCTAACTTGTACACTCCTGCATCTTGTAGAGGAATATTACACTTGACGGATGGTAAAAATTGACTAATCTTCTTCGGCAGTTGTAGTGTGTTTTAATGGAAGCTCGCTTCAAGATGTAGCCAACCTTGTCTGTGACTCCTCTGACATAATATGGTAGTACAGCAGGCACACGCTGTGTGACTGTGGCCGGCTTCACTCGGTCACTGTGACGTAGGCGCGGGACCAGAAGCTTGTTGTCTTGCAACACTTGCTTGACATGCTGAAGCTCGGCGGCCAGATTTTTTCTGTCACAGATCGTGCTCTCTGAAAAAAAGATTTACCCTTGGTAGCTAACTGTGAAGGATGATGGTGAGATTCACCATTTAAATATCGGTTGGTATGGGTCGTTTTTCTATACACAGTGTGACCAATAGTGTTATCAGGATTTCGAATGACTAAAACGTCAAGGGAAGCTAAGAAATTATTTGCATCTAACTCCATTGTGAATTGTATTTTAGAGTTTATAGAGTTAAGGTGGTCTAACAATGCAGTTACTTTGTCAGACGGTAAAATTGTAAAGTGTCGTATACGTACCGCTTGTAGAATCTTGGATTTACAGGAGCAGTAAGAAGGGCTTTCTCCTCGAAGTCCTCCATGAATATTCCGGCGACTATGGGAGATACAGGTGAGCCCATCGCCACACCATCCACTTGCTTGTAGAACTCTATCTTCCACAATAGATAGCCAGATGTGAGGCAATGTTTGAGTAACACTGCATATTCAGCAGGCATGTTGTTATCTTCTAGCTTCCTAGTAAATAATGACTGAACATCAAAACTGACCATAGTTTCATTGTCAGCGATATGTAGGTCTTTTATCTCACTAACAAAATGGTATGAATCCTTTGTGTGTGCTCTGGTATGTCCTCTCAGTGGTGCCAGTATTTTTACCAAGTAATGTGCCAGCTTATAAGTTGGTGAATCGATCTGGCTTACTATAGGACGTAGTGTAGCGTTTGGTTTGTGTATCTTCGGTAACCCATACAACCTCGGTGGTTTGGTACATGATGGTATTAGCGAATTCACGTCGAGATTTAATTTTTTGGGAGTATTTCTTTACTTAATCGCTAGTTGCTTTAAGCGTGTTAGTTGGGGGGTCTGTTTGACCTTTTTATATGTACTTTCGTCCGATAAAAGCTGTACTATTTTAAAACTATACTCTGACGTGTCCATTATTACCGTAGCGTTTCCTTTATCCGGGCGGAGAATCGTTAGCTCTGGTCTGTTCCGTAAGTTAATCAACGCTGTAAATTCGTCTTTAGGAAGGTTTGGTTTCGGCACTGCACTACGACGTAACAAGGACGAAATATCTTGACGTATAGCCTCCAAATCTTCCTTACCGATATTATTCTTAAACAGACAATTATCTGCAGTGTTGAGCATCGTCTGTTTGGTTTTATAGCGCGGTAAAGCATAAGTTTAAGTTTAAGGTATATTACCTTAATAGCGGTAAATGGAAATCACTCATTAGGTCATGCTGAACATATTTACTAGGTAGTCGTTTGTGTTTAAGCGTCCATCTGTGTAGATGCCATTGTATTATGCAGCCAGATAGTACGTGCATTGTTTTGTTTCTATCTGAAGGGTATATATTTAGATATAGTATGATTAAAGGCTGTAAAACATTCACCCCCTTATTATAATGACGACATCAATCAATATGAAGCAGAATGTCAGTTTGAGAGGCCTATTTTTAATAGTGCCTATAGTAGTGCTTAGGATTAGGAGTGAAGGACTAGGAGAGCATAAATTTAAATCGGTTTATATTCTTTCAGCTACACGAAGCAATTAAACAAATCGCAACTGTAACAAAATTTAACAAACAAGCATGGTTCTATGATTTGAAAGTACTGCATTTGTTGCCAGTTAAAGAAATTAAATCTCTCAGTCTTCTTTTACATCTGGCGTCTGCTAAACTCTTTGGCCTCATAGAGGAGAGTGCGAAGAGTGGCTTGGAAGAAAATTTTGTATCCTACGTACAGAAACACCAAGCAGAAGTAGAGAAAACAAGAGCAGAGTTCGTTTTTGTTTTGAGGCTATTAAAAGAAATAAAAAGATTAGAAAATTATGTCTTTTGTATTATTTACAAGCCTTCATGTACTCTTTTGTATTATTTAACCTTCCTAGGTGGTTGGACTCCATTTAAGCCTAAAAGTCTGTCTAGGTAGATTCTTTATAGAAATTGGGTGACAAACGAGCGCACAGTTCACCTGATGGTAAGTGGAGTGAAATGGAATGCTCGACAACAATTATACTGGCTTTCAACACCCTTAATACTGGAACATCGCTTTGCAAACACTGCTATTTGACGGTAGATAGCTTAGTATGGTGGTGAAGAACCGGATACGCTTTTTTACTGGAAACGAGGTATTCCATCTTAGTCCTCAGCTGTGACAACGCATCTGCATTTTGATTATTAATTGAGGATAAATGTAGGTGTTTATGGGCTACAGCATCCAATTACAATCTGGTGAACTGGACTTATTTGTCATTCTTATTGTATATAGATATAAAAAAACA